TGAGATCGCAGTGGTAGATTGGCTGGCGCTTGGGCCCCGGTTGCTGGGGCGGACGCGCTGTGGACCGAAGATGATGTCACTTGAATAGCACTCCGGGGTGTGAACAAAGCCCGATGCCAACTCTGTCCACATATCTATTCAAGTGACATCATCATAGGACCTAATCACATCAGCCAAATCATCAGGGGCTCGTTCACCTGCACATCTACCAATGTGATATATGCCATCATGTGCCAGCAATGCCCTCTGCCATGTACATTGGCCAAACCGGACAGTCTCTATGCAAAAGAATTAATGGACACAAATCTGACATCAGGAATCATAACATTAAAAACCAGTAGGAGAACACTTTAACCTGTCTGGTCATTCAATGACAGACCTGCGGGTGGCAATTTTGCAACAGAAAAGCTTCAAAAACAGATTCGAATGAGAAACTGCTGAGCTGGAATTGATATGCAAACTAGATATGATCAACTTAGGCTTGAATAGAGACTGGGAATGGCTGAGCCATTACAAACATTGAATCTATCTCCTCTTGTAAGTATTCTCACACCTCTTATCAAACTGTCTGTACTATCTTGATTATCACTTCAAAAGTTTTTTTCTCTTACTTAATTGGCCTCTCAGAGTTGATCAGACAACTCCCACCTGTTTATGCTCTCTGTATGTGTATATATATCTCCTCAATATATGTTCCATTCTATGCATCCGAAGAAGTGGGCTGTAGCCCACGAAAGCTTATGCTCAAATAAATTTGTTAGTCTCTAAGGTGCCACAAGTACTCCTGTTCTTTTTGCGGATACAGACTAACACGGCTGCTATTCTGAGACCTGAAGGCTGTGAGTCTGATGGCTCTGGGACTATGGACATCAGGTACTAAACCAAAAGGGTGACATTTTCCATTGGCCTCTATTATTTTGAGATGCATTGGTTTGCATGCACATAAAGCAAGTTTTTCTTTCTGGAAGAGTTCTGTAGAACTGGGATTAGAACCAGCACTGTGAGATAAAGAAATGGAATAGGATTCTATTGAAATGGCCAGTTCCTGGGTGAATTCCACCTCTGACCCCTCCTGCTCTCTCTGAGAGCGCTCCTTCTAGGTCTTGGGCCATCATCTCTGTCTTGGGGTGGAATCACACTATTCTCCCACTCTCAGACCAGGCCCTGGGTTGCAGTCCCCTGTGTATCAAGTGTGACCACCTCAGCAGGTCAGATTGACCTCCAGACCCCGCAGTTCTGTTCTCCCTGGGCAACGACAGTGCCAATCAGCAATCAAACAGCCTCCTTAAAGCAAAGTGTCATTGGTTTAGAACAAAAGCATTTCAGAGAACCCAGATCTCAAAAACAGCAAGACAGCCTGCACACATACTTCCCCTAGCTGAGGAAGTGCATCTTAAGCTTCAGAATCTTCCCAGTTAATATTCCAGATGAGCCCTCACTTGTAATGCCGACAGACCCTGTCTCCAGAGGGGGACAGAGCACCACACCAAGGAGGCATGGGTTACACCTACTCCTGCTGGGTTTACATTAGACTCATGCTGGAAAGATACATGTCCCCAGCATCATCTTCCATGGTGTGAGAAACGACTTACACCCAGTCCTACTTGAAGTGCTAAGCCCCAACAGCTTGAGTTGCCACTGCAAGAAGACACTTGTGAATTTCAGCTTTCTCACACGCGACTTACCCTCTGTTTGGAAGGGACCGGAGCCTTGTGCTGAGGGCAGTTTAGCCGAGGCAGAAGCTGTAAGAATAAATGCATTTGTGAGTCCTGGTTCTGGGATTGTGATGTTTGGCTCACTATTGTTCATGGTTATTAGACCTTCCCTGTGCTCCCTTCTGACTGGAAACAATAGCTTGGGAATGTGAGAGGAAACGGGCACATTGTTTGAGCCGTGTCTTGGTCCCATTGTTCCAAGTGGGGACCTATTGTGTCCAACCTCATTTCCCTTTTTAAAGAGGTTAGACGTTCATTTTCCTACTGGAATTTGCAAAAGGGCTGAGGACTTGGCTCCCTTTCCAGGGCACAAGTTGTACCCTGAAAATGTTGCATCCTCATTTTTGTGCTTGCAGAACGGACCGTGGTTGCCTATCCAAGTACATGCATCTCTAACTATCTGATTTGCAAACACAGACTGGTAGCTACATCTATATTTTCATTTGTATTACTCAGATTTATACCCACAGTTCAACTTTCTGTGCACATTACATCTGCAAAAGGGTGACCAACCCTTCTGAAAGGCTGGCCCTATACGTAAACTGCTTATCCTACACAAGCAAGTACATCTTCATATACTTCCAGGGTGCAACTAATCTGAGGAGTATCTCTGTTGACTTCCACAGAGTTACACTGAGATTAATTTGGCCAAATCGGTCTCTGGCCCTTTAACTTCTAACGTGGCTTTTCCCTGTTACTCTTTCCAAGCCCCAGCTTAATAGGGATAATGACAGCATCACACTTTTGTAAATTATTGGAGATCTCTGGATAAAAGGCAATGCATAAAAGGTAAATGCCTACTGATCTGCCTACCAGTTTGGCCAATAGTGGATACAACGTCACTCTCTCCTGTGTCATGGACAGCAGAAACCATCACCTTGTATTCTGTATTGGGAAGCAGTGACTGCAGGGTCACTCCGCTGCTTTTACCAGAAACCATTATCTACGGCAAAGACGAGAAAGACTCTTACAGCTTTTATTCATTTGCGGATACAAGTGGGCAATACAGGGCAACAGCAAAGCAGTTTAGACTAAGAGCTGATGACCACACTCCGCTTCCCAGCTAGAGCTGGGAAAGGTTTTTCACCCAAAACTTGTTTCTGCCGACACAGCAGATTCAGCGACATTGAAACATTTCTCAAGTTCATGTTGGTTTCTCCAAACTGTTTCAATTGGTGGGGAGGGGAGGAGGAAATCCCAAACAATCAAAAAGTTTCCTTTCCACATTTTCTAAATGAAACATTTCAATTTTTCGATTTGAAATCGCTTTCAATTTCAACATTTCCTTTCATTTTATTTTTACAAACATTTAAAAATGAATGAAACGAAATGAAACAATTTTGTCTCAACAAAATGTTTCATTTGACCCAAAATGATTTTTTGGTTGCCATGAAAATTTTGAAAAAAATCATTTTTAATTCAACCTGAAAATACTTAAAAATTTGTTTTTGAATTGCGAGCGAAACGATAAATCCTCTCTTCTCCCAACTCTTTTCCTGAAGACACCCAGCTCCCTCCTCCCCTCCCCCGCCAGCCCTTAGATTCCCACTAGGTGCCGAGACTGCCCCTCAGCTCATCAGGGAAGATTTTCAAAGGTATAGGGGGAGTTAGGCATCCAGCTGCCATTGAAAGTGTTCTTATTTATTCTGGAAAATGTCCCCTTTTCACATTTTCCTAATGGGTATCTAAATTGGACAAGCCTACCGGTCTCAGGCCAATGTTGCCTCAACTAAATGGAAACACCGAGGGAGTTTCATCAGCCATGGTTTCTTGCTTTGTTTTCCTATTGAAGCTATAGACTGGAGGAAGAAAGTCATCAGACCAGGCTTATCTAGGTGCTGGGCAGCTCTGCATGAACATGGGGGCATTCCCCATCCCGATGAATTTCAAACTTCCTTAGGGTACTGCAGTCTAACTGGGTCTAAACGGAGAATTTGAGTGATAAAGGTTAACGCTTAATCACTTGAGGTCAGAGCAGGGGATTTGTCCATAATCCTTCACCTATTGGAAATGCAGCCCTCCGGTTTATGGCGATGGAGGGGATAAAAGAGGCGGCTGTAGTCTTAGGGCTTTAACTGCAATGAATTCTCCTGATGTTTTATACAGAAATCCTTGCAAGAGCCTAAAAGGCCTTGGTTTGAATTCACAACTGAACACCCCCTTCCTGTCTCCAATGCGCTGCCATTAATCAGATGAAGGAAGTGAGTTGCTCTTGTACTCTTGACCAAATTTATCCTTGGGGTAACCCCACTGACTTCAATAGAGACACATCAGGGTTGACATTGGCCTTTGTCTCTTTAGTCAAGTGCCTGGCATGTCCAAAAGCAACCAAGGACTTACTGTTTGCTGAGCACTGTCATCAGATTCAGGAGCGTAGGTTACTCTGTAGTACTGTATGTGGCCGCCAGGGGGTCTCCAGTGGACCTGCAGGCTATTGGGGGTCTCCGAGTCTATAACGAGGTTGGTGGGTGGGCTCTGGGAAGCTGCAGCAGGGAACAAATATGAACTAGATGACGGGCAGATAGCGATGGATACAAACTAGGCCAAAAAAACTCCATCTGGCACATTAGTAAGTGCTTCACTGCTCTGCTCTGCTACCATCATAGTGAGAGCTCAGAATGGAGACAGAGGGGCGTCACCTAAGGGCCAGGGAACGAGAGAGACTGAGATCTTGGAGGAGAGTGGATTGCCTAAGGGTATATAGAAAGGACTCAACACTGAGACAAGAGAGGCCTGGGAGCTGGAAGAAAAGCTTTGGAGAGGAGAAGGGAGACCTAGAAGCATAGTGAGTGAGTGTGTGCGCCCCACAGATACCCAAGGTGGCATGTATCTCTGACCCAAGATATAAAGAAGACACATTGTGAAATGGCTTTAGAGATGGTCAGGAGTGGATCGGACACTCCAATTTACTCTGATGTCATTGCTAAGTTGATATTGTCCAGTAAATGCAACATCCATTTGTCCCTTCTTGTTTTTAAATTCAATTTCTTACTAAAATATTAGCAGCCTTGCAGAGCGTGACACTGCTTGGCTCACTCTCATCAGACCACCCACAGACTTCTGAAGATGTTTCATGGGAAGTTTGGGTGCGATTCCAATTGCATATCCTGAGCTGAATGTGACTCCTACAGTGGTAAGGGTCTTAGAGTCCAGACCAAGCCCAATTGACTATGCTGCAATTTTTAGCCCCAAAGCCCAAGGCCTGCGAGCCCAACTCAATAGACCTAGGCTCTGAGACTTGGTGCTGCGGGTTTTTTAGCACAATGTGGACACACCCTAAGACAATGGCTGAGGAAGTCAACTGCACGAAAGGGATGGGCAACCTCTGCTTGACGTATGGTTCAAACATATCACAGGACGAGAGAGAAATATGGAGTCACCCAAAAAATGAGTTTGTTGCTAAATGGTCTCTTGCCCAACGGTTAGAGTCTGGTCTCGAAAACCAAGAGGGGACAAGGCCGGCACTAAGAAGGGAAAATCTAAGGAGGAAAAAGGGAAGCAAGGTAAACTGAGAGAGACGAAAATGTAGCAGATGAACCCAAAGGACAAGTAAGGACATGGCTGAATGCAGGATACGAGCTCTCTCTTCTCAAGCTTTACCTATAACACAAACGTGCCCTTCTGCCCACACAGCGAGGACTGAGGTCACCTCAGAATGTGCTTTGAAGGAAGCTTTGTGGCTCGCTTTGCATTTTCATTGATTCTCTCTCCCCTTTCCTGGGTCAAATAAGCTTTGTTTTATTGAAACCAAATCAAAAGCTATTGACTGAGCCTTGAGGGTACTGCTGCATGGCAGCCCAAGGGGAGGTAAACAAGGACAGGCTGAAGTGTGTTTGTTCTGGGGTGAAGGAGGGGAGCAGTCTGCCTGGGCACAGGTCAGGTTCTTGAGTCACAAACAAAAAAAGCTGTGTTCAGAAAAAAAGAGTTAAGGTTGAAAGTGAGTTTCAGCGGAGCCCAGATTACACCTGTTCCCACCAGACGCCCCATCACAAGATCATCTAGGCCTGCTCAGAGTGGGATTAGATGACACAGTAGTAAAAAAATGCCAGTGCCTTGTCTACACTAGCACTTCCACCAACGGTGCTGGTGCTTAATCGATGGTAGGAGACTTTCTGAAAATACTCCCTGTATGCAAGGCCAGTGAGGGAGGGAATATCCCTCCAGTAGCACTATCACTTAACAATCCTGCACTACCCCATGCTCTGTGGGTGCTCCCCGTGTCTGGGACCCACTGCCAAACCCAGACCCAGTTCACTGCCTTCAGATGAGTTTAATTGATGAACCAGACCTCCTGACTGGCTGAAGACTTCAACCCTGTAACAGCACCGGGTCCCTGGCTGCTCAAACGCATTCCATGCCTACTGCTGGGTTTCTGGTTCTGCTCCTAACTCCTTGTTCCTGGCTTCTTCCCGTTGACTCATGGTTCCTGGTTCCTGCTCCTGGTGCCAGCCCCTGCTCTGTCTGATTCTCTGGGTCTGACCCTTTGCTCCTGATTCCCAGCGCTTGGCTCCAGCTCGCTCTCTTGGTAACTTGGCTCCTGATTTGGCCTCTGGCCACTAGGCCCTGTCACCTCCACACCAACCACAAGGCCAGCCTCCCACCCTGACCATTAGGCAAGACCGCCCCCAGCCTGCTTCATAGCACCCAGCGCCTCTCACAGGTTTGCTGCCTGTACCGACCATTTCATTCAGCTAAGATGTGCCTCCAATTCACTGTTTCTCTGTAGTTATTTTAAGATAACCCAAGCTAACAAGATAGAGTAAGTTAGCGGAAAACTTCAAAGTCGGAATTACTTGGAAAGCTCCCAGGGCCCTGCAGAATCTGACAGCACGGATCTGACAGACAGGGGAAAGGTCAAATTTCTAGGCTGCCCAGGAGGAAGTGAGTTTCTCTAACATGGAGAGTGCCATCTGTGCCAGCCTCACGTGCTGCCCCTTAAACCTTTTCCACACTTCCTTCCCAGGAGGGTTTTCAGCCGTCGGACTCCTCGGTCTAATTGGTATAATGTATATGTCCTCAAATCAGAGTGAAGCTCCAGACCTCTCTGCTAAGCTGTACTGCTGCCCATTTCAAATGTCCCTTCGGAGCCTTATCCATCATTATTACACACACGATGCAGCTGAGTTTCTCTTGCCCTCATTGCTCAGTATTCTGGATTCTTCCCAGCATTTCCGCTCCTCGCCATTAATTTCATTAAACTTATTTACTAAACTAAGCATCAGCTTGCCCAAGTTTAAGGACCTATCTATTCATGACTTTGCCACTGTGGATGTTAGCTCCAGAGGGTGACAGACCAACGCGTGTTCTACTCCTAGGTCAGGAGTAGGAAAATCCTAGGACTGTGGAAACCAAGCTCGCTGTACAGTTGGAGTGCTATGTTTGTTCCCAGGCATTCCTTTACATGTCACATCACACCCTATTCCTAAGAGGTTGGGGCTTTGAAACACCATGCTGGACAATAATGCCAGGTCCCAATGTGCTGATGAAGTATCATCTCATGCTCACCCAGCATTACCGCACATTGCTGTGGTTTCAAACACAAGCATTGAAATGTGGGGGGTCCGACTCTGATCATTTTGTCCTTCAGGACAAGCAGATTGGTGACAACCTCAGGTGGAGGAGTAGTACTTCGCTCCAGGGAAAGGGGGCTGGATGCCTCACTTCACTCATCCAAGCTTTTGAAAGAACAGTCTTGGTGGATTTTAAAGGGAGTCCCATCCCATCCTTCTCAGGCAGAAGGATGGCAGCTGCCTTACAAATCCTTGAAAGGGAGCAAACAGGAAGATCATTAGGTCTATGGCACAGATATTAAAGACTCCGATAGGTCCCAAAAAGATATGCAATGTTACATGACATCCCATTACTGTGCACAAAGGGTTGTGTGTATGTGCTTTTGTGTTGCTATTAATAATAATTACTTGCATTGTGGTAGCACCTAGAGGTCCCAATCAAGGATCAGGGCCCACTGAGCTAGATAATGATAATGAAAAGACAGTCCCTGTTGCAAAGACCCTGAAATCTAAGTGTAACACGAGAGAGAACAGGTGGTTACAACACCTATGTTGTTTCGAAACCGTCCCTTTGTAAGGCAGCACACACTGCCCTGCCGAGCGATGGATTTTTGTGACAGGGCCTGTTGTCTGCAAGAGAGACATGTCCTGCAACGTCCATTGAGTACAATCTACCTGCACACAGTTTTGTATGTGGATTGAGCAGGGAAATAGTCCTGATTAAAATGAACTCGCTGTGCTCACCTCAGCACCAAGAGGGGTATTTAGTTCCACATTGCAAAGCCAATACACAAAGGCAGTCATTTTTCTCTTAACCTTCAAGGGGGCCATATTCTCCTGGGGAGAACAGAGAAAGAGAGGCGCTTGTGTTCCTCACGCTTCCTACATAGCCTCAGGCTTCTAGGGCAAGAGACTCACTTCAGTGGCTGCCCTGAGGTTGCTGTATTTCTTGCAAGATACTGCATACCATTTTTTTTTTAAAAGAACTTACTGGTTTAGCCTCTTCCTATATGGAGGGATGAGAAAAAAACAACAAAAAGAGCATGAGTCACTTTTCATCCCACATATACACCCCGCTCTGCACCCAGGCTCTCTCTTATCACAGCATGCGTGCACCTGCTGGCTACGACGCAACATAAGCCTTCCACTCGGAGGAGGGCTTGGAAGATTTTTGACACATCATTGGTATTTCATCCCGCAAACCTTGGTTTGAAGAAGCACGTCAGAGTGGGGACTGAGGAGGAATCATACACAGGGCCGGCTCCAGCATTTCTGCCGCCCCAAGCAAAAAAAAACAAACGCCGCGATCGCGATTGGCGGCGGCAGTTCAGCGCCAGGTCCTTCGCTCCTAGAGGGAGTGAGGGACCTGCCGCCCCCGAATTGCCGCAGGTGCCGCCCCTCTCCCTTGGCCGCCCGAAGCACCTGCTTGTTAAGCTGGTGCCTGGAGCCGGCCCTGATCATACAATTAAGCTGAATGATTTTTTCACGGATGCTCATTTAAACTTGGCCACAAAAGAGAGTGCGAGTCTTTCCCATAACCTTGCCAGTCCCTCCCTCTCTACCAGGACACCGGCCATCTTAGCCTTTTTCAAGCTATTGGGACCACAAGCCTTCTCGGGGCCCCCCGAGAGTTGCACTCTCTCCTTGAAACCACCTCCTCCTCTTACTTCATTTTTCCTCACGGGCATTTTCTCCTTT